AGGTTGTGCGTTGTGCGTTGTGCGTTGCGCGTCGCGCGTTGCCCGCTGCGCGTTGCGCGTTGCGCGTTACGCGCTGCGGGTTGTGCGGTGTGCCTTGTGCGTTGCGCGTTGTGTTCTGTGCCTTGTACGCTGTGCGTTGTGCGTTGTGCGTGGTGCGTTGAGCGTTGTGTGTTCCGCGTTGCGCCTTGTGCGCTGCGCGATGCGCGCGGTGCGTCGTGCGTTGTTGCGCGCTGCGCGTTGTGCGTTGGGCGCGGTGGATTGCGCTGTGCGTTGTGCGTTGTGCGTTGTGCACTGTGCGCTGTGTGCGTTGCATGTTGCGCGTTGCGCGTTGCGAATGCGCGTCATGCGGTGCGCGATGCGCGTTGTGCGTTGTGCGGCGTGCGTTGCGCGTTGCGTGCGTTGTGCGTTGTGCAATGTGCCTTGTGCGTCGCGCGTTGTTCGTTGCGCGTTGCCTGTCGCTTTCTTGCGCGCTGTGCGTTGTGCGGTGTACTTTGCGCGTTGCGCGTTGCGTCGCGCGCGTTGTCTGTCGCGCTGTGCGTTATGCGTTGCGCGTTGTGTGTCGTGAATTGCGCGTTATTCGTCGTGCGTCGCGCGCCGTGCGCTGTGCGTTGCGTGGTGCGTAGTACATGTTGCGCGTTGTGCGTTGTGCGTTGTGCAATGTGCGTTGCGCGTTGCGTCTTGCGTGGTGTGCGCTGCGCGTTGTGTGTTGTGTGTTGTGCGTTATGCGCAGTGTGTTGCGCGTTATCCGCGTGTTCCGCGCGCGTTGCGCGATGCGTGTACTGCGCGCGTTGCGCGATCTACGCGAGGCGCACGCTGCGCGCGCGGCGGGCGTTCCGTGCTCTGTGCGCTGTGAATTGCGCGTGTTGTGCGCTGTGTGCGCTGTGCGCGTTGCGTGCGTTGTGCACGCTGCGCTTTTGCGTTGTGCGCGGCGTGCGTTGTGCGAGTTGTAGGTTGCGCGCTGTGGGTGTGCATGTTGGGCGTTGCGTGTGTTATGTGTTGCGTGCGGCGTGCGTTGGGTGCGTTGTGTGCACTATGCGTGGTGCGTTGTGTGTGTTGTGTGCGTCGCGTCGCGCGCGTTGCGTGCTTAATGTGGGTTGCGCGCGGTGTCTGTTGCGCGCGCGTTGCGATGTGCGCGCGGTGCGTTGCGCGCGCGTTGCGTGCGTTGTGCGTTGCGCGCGCCGTGCGTTGCGCGCATTGTGCATTGCGCGTAATGCGCGTGCATTGCGTGCGTTGCGTGCGTTGTGCGTTGTAAGCGCCGTGCGTTGTGTGGGTTGTGTGTTGTGTGTTGTGCTTCGCGTGGTGTGCGTGCTGTGTGTTGCGCGTGTTGTATGCGTTGCGTGGTGTGTGCGTTGTGTGCGTTGTGTGCCGTGGCTTGCGGGTGTTGCGTGTTGTCTGTTGTTCATGATGAATGCGCTGTGTTGTGCGTTGTGTGTGTTGTGCGTGCTGCGTGCTGCGTGCGTTGCGTGCGCGGCGCGCGTCGACTGCGTCGCGTGTGTCGCGTGCGTTGCATGGCGCCTTGTGTGTGGTGTGTGCGTTGTGTGTTGCGCGTGTAGTGTGTGTTGTTCGTACTGCGCGTGCTGTGCGTTGCGCGTGTCGTGTGTGGTGTGCGTTGTGCGTGGTGTGTGTTGTGTGTTGTGTTGTGCGTGCGTAGTGCGCGATTGGCGTTGTGCGCGTTGTGTGTTGTAAGTTGTGCATGTTGGTCATTGTATTGTGTGTGTTGTTTTGTGTGTTGTGTGCTGTGTTGTGTGTTGTGCGCGTTGGGTGTAGCGTGCGTTGCGTTGCGTTGTGTGTGTTGTGTGCGGTGTGTGCGTGCTGCGGTGTGCGTTGTGCTTTGTGTGTGATGTGTGTGCTGTGTGTGTTGGGTATTGTGCGGGGTGCGCGTGGAATGCGTGGCGTGCGTGTTGCGTTTGGGGTGTGCTGCGTGTGTTGCGAGCGTTGCGTCCGTTGTGCGTTGTGTTGTGCGTTGTGTGCTGTGTTGTGTTGTGTGTTGTGTTGTGTGTTGTGTGGTGTGTGTGCTGTGTGTTGTGTTTTTGTGCGTGGTGCGCGTGTTGTGTGGGATGTGCGTGTGTTTTGTGTGTGTTGAGTGTGTTGTGTGTTGCGTGTGCTGTGTGAAATGTGCGGTGTGTATTGTCTTACGTGTGCTGTGTGCGATGCGTGTGCTGTGCGTGCTGTGTGTTGTGTGTGCTGCGTGCGGTGCGTGTGCTGCGCGTGCGGTGTGTGTGCTGTGTGTGTGCCGTGTGTGCCGTGTGTGCTGTGTGTGCTGTGTGTGCTGTGTGTGCTGTGTTGTGTGTGCTGTGTGTGCTGCGCGTGCCGCGTGCGCTGCGTGTGCTGCGTGCGTTGTGTGTGTGTGCTGCGTGTGCTGCGTATGCTGCGCGTGCTGCATGTGCTGCGTGTGGTGCGTGTACTGCGCATGCTGCGCGTGTTGCGTGTGCTGCGCGTGCTGTGTGTGCGGTGCGTTGTGTGTGCTGTGTGGTGTGCGTGGTGTGTGTGTGGTGTGTGTACTGTGTGTGGTGTGTGTGTGTTGTGTAAGTGCTGTGTGTGGTGTGATCACTGTGTGTTGTGTGTTGCGCGTGGTGTGTATGGTATGGGTTGTGTGTTGTGTGTTCGTTATGTTGTGTGTTGTGTTGTGTGTTGTGAGTGTGTTGTGTGCTGTGTGGTGTGTGTGATGTGTGTGTTGTGCGTTGTGCGTGTTATGTGTGCTGTGTGTGGTGTGTGGTGTGTAATGTGTGTGTTGTGTGTTGTCTGTGTTGTTTGTTGTGTGTGTTGTGTGTTGTGCGTTGTGTGTGGTGTGCGTGTGGTGTGCTGTGTGTGGTGTGCGTGTTGTGTGTTGTGTGTTGTGCGGTGTGTGTGTGTGGTGTGTTGTGTGTGGTGTGTGCGTGTGTGTTATGTGTGTTGAGTGTGTTGTGTTGTGGGATGTGTGCTGTGTGTGCTGTGTGTGCTGTGTGTGCTGTGTGTGCTGTGTTGTGTGTGCTGTGTGTGCTGCGCGTGCCGCGTGCGCTGCGTGTGCTGCGTGTGCTGCGTGCGTTGTGTGTGTGCTGCGTGTGCTGCGTATGCTGCGCGTGCTGCATGTGCTGCGTGTGGTGCGTGTACTGCGCATGCTGCGCGTGTTGCGTGTGCTGCGCGTGCTGTGTGTGCGGTGCGTTGTGTGTGCTGTGTGGTGTGCGTGGTGTGTGTGTGGTGTGTGTACTGTGTGTGGTGTGTGTGTTGTGTAAGTGCTGTGTGTGGTGTGATCACTGTGTGTTGTGTGTTGCGCGTGGTGTGTATGGTATGGGTTGTGTGTTGTGTGTTCGTTATGTTGTGTGTTGTGTTGTGTGTTGTGAGTGTGTTGTGTGCTGTGTGGTGTGTGTGATGTGTGTGTTGTGCGTTGTGCGTGTTATGTGTGCTGTGTGTGGTGTGTGGTGTGTAATGTGTGTGTTGTGTGTTGTCTGTGTTGTTTGTTGTGTGTGTTGTGTGTTGTGCGTTGTGTGTGGTGTGCGTGTGGTGTGCTGTGTGTGGTGTGCGTGTTGTGTGTTGTGTGTTGTGCGGTGTGTGTGTGTGGTGTGTTGTGTGTGGTGTGTGCGTGTGTGTTATGTGTGTTGAGTGTGTTGTGTTGTGGGATGTGTGTTGTGTGTGATGTGTGTTGTGTATTGTGTGTTATGTTGTTTGTGCTGTGTGTGCGTGCGTGCGTCTGTGTGTGTGCATGCGTGCGTGCGTAAGTGCGTGCGTGCATCCGCGCGTGCGTGCGTGCGTGCGTGCGTGCGTGCGCGCGTGCGTGCGTGCGTGCGTGTGCAGCGAGAGTTTCTGCAAGAGGCTCACCCCCCGTCCGTGTCCTCCGCGGGCACGCCAACCAACGAAAAAGCGAGCCACGTCGCGATCGGCAGCTTCACAACAAGACGGCCCCATGACAGCCCCAGAAAGCCACAGGAGGCCGCCAGGTTTGGCCAAGAGGCCCAATGAGCTACCAGGTGCCCAAGACAATCAAAACAAGAGGCACCAGAACTGCAAGAGACACACTGGAGGCCCCAAGAGAGGCCCCCTGAGGACCCAAGATAGGCTACATCTTTCAAAACTGGCTCGAAAACCTTTGGTGGCTAGACGGCATGAGCTTCCCGTGCCTTCCTTCCTGAACCGAATTCTGAAGTGAAGGGTTCTAGAGCGGCCCACCATAACCCAACAGAGCTCTGAGAAATCCCCGAGATTGCCGCAGGACGGCTGAGAAGGACCCCGAGAAGCCTCTAGACGGCCAAGAGACGGTGGTGGAGACGATCCGAGAAAGGAACAGGGATCCCGGGGTCTCGGGCCAAGTTGGGACTACGGGGCCACAATGGGCCAAGAGAGGGCTCACCCCTGACCAACTGGAGCCTAGTGAGGCCATGTTGGCACCAACTTTAGCAAATTTGCGGCCAGCTAGAACAACCTCGGCCTCGGCAATATTTGCCCCGTTCCTGGCTGCCACCAGGCTGCCCACTGCCGCCATTTTGCTCCCGTGGCCTGTTGTCCTCGCTTCTCCTGCTGCCCGTCCTGGCCATGCCCCCACCAGCCCCCGTGCGTCCCTGCTGATCTCTTTTCGAGTTCGGCGGAGCCAGCCGTGCGGCCTGTGCGGTCGAACAAGCGAGGGCCCCAAGAGGATCCCAAGAGGATCCCAAGAGTGTCCAAAGGGGCCCAAAGAGGGCCCAAAAGCTGCCGCCCCCACGTATTCGAGCACACGAGCGTCGAGGCCACGCCCTGCCAAGCGCTCAGGCGGCACAGGAGGCGCTGCCCAGGCTAACACGAAAGCACCCCTTGTCATCTCGCGGCATGTGCCCTTCCGGCACCCCCCCTCTCCTCGTGGCACTCATCCCCTCAACCTCTGTCCCTCTGTATCTGCATCGTCACAATGTTTCTCCTCCTCGTCCTCCTCCTCCTCCATTCTCCATTCTCCATTCTCCATTCTCACTGCTGCCCTCTCCTGGGCACACCAACAGACCAGGCTGTCCTCTCCCGGGGGGCGGCAGGAGGGGCGTGAGAGCCTCGAGGGATACAGCATGGCGGCTCTGGCGAAGTCGACGCGCTGGATGTGCCGCTCGTAGCCGTCGTAGACCGCCAGGTGCTCCGGGAAGGCCTCCGCGACGAGCGCCCGCAGCCCGCCGTCGTCCCACAGGAGGTGCTGGTGCCCAGGCTCGGGGCATGCCGCTCGCCAGGTGGCCTGGCACGGCTCCCAGTGCGGGTCCCAGCGGCCGCGGTCGCGCGGGGCCGTCTGGTGAACGAGCAGCGGCACCGGCTCGGGCATCGGCAGGGGGAGGATGGCGAGGATCGGCGGCGCGCCGAGGGGGGAAGCGGAAAGAAGCGGGCCCGCTCATAAGGCGGCGGGGCTTCGGAGAGAAGGCTCGGGAAGCTTCTCGGAAGGCCAGAGGCGTTCTGAGCGGAAGGCCGCCCGCTCTGCCGTCCCCTCTGGGCGCGCCGACGAAAGAAGATTCGAGCCAGGAGCTCCACAACGGAACGTCGGGCCGCCTGAGCCGAGAGCCTGCGGAGCAGTGCCCGCGCACCAGGTCACAGAATGCAGCAGGCAGGCGAGCCAAGTCACCACCAGGTCCCAGAATGCAGTTCGATAACTTGATATCGTAGGCCTCCCCAACTGGCAGGCAAAATCGGCTCAAAGCGAGAGCATCACAGAGCCAACAACAGCTGAGCACCCAACCATCCTTCCCCATCACAGTCAAAATCGTGCCTGAGGGTCACGAAAAAGAATGCACAAACAAAACTTACAATTCTGGCGATTGCACAACAGCTAAAGTCTTGGGCAGAAATAGCAGCGTCTAGCGCTGGCGACAAAGCAAGCAAGTTGCGGACCAAAGACGCCACGACGCAGCGCAAAGAAAAAAACATAGTATACGAAAAGCAGCTCCACGCACTCAGATACAGAAGATCCTAAAGCAAGTACCCACGCTACCAGCCAGAACATCTGCGGCACAGCCAACACAAAAAAACTGTCCAACGCCAACCAGCCAACAACGGGAGCGGCAACCAGCAGCACCTGACCACAACGTCCGAGCATCAAAAACAGCCCCCGCGAATCACGTCGTGATAGCCACCGACCTTACGGCCCAAGAGGATGCCAAGATAGCGCAAAACAGCCATGACGACAGCCTTTGAACTCAGGAGGCCCCTAGGCCCCCAAAACGGTGCAAGAGGGCTTCTGACTCGGAAAGTCTTCGAACAGTGCGAGCACATGTTCGGAATATGTCAAACTATACTGTCAGATGTTCTGCGCATGCCTGTCATCACTGCTTGTCCTCCTCCTCATCCTCCTCTTCGCGAGTATCATGACCTCCTTCTCGCCGAGCATCAGGACCCTAATTATCACCCACTGTATTCCACGTCCTTGTAACCGTCATTTTCATTGCGTTACTCATTCGACCCATCCTGCTCATCAGCATCCGCCCAATACTCACCGTGCGTATTCACCACCACAACCACACCCATTTGATCCACGTTGTAAGTCAGGGGTCGTTGGCGGACGCAAGGTCAGCCTCACGTTCCCGAAATTCATGTTGGCGACTATGCCCGCTGAAATGTAAATGGCTGTTGTGAAATGTGTCCACGTTCTTCTGCGAACGTATGCGCGCCTGCTATTTCGCAAGATTCGCACCCCGCGCGATGCTTTGAGTCCTCTCTTTCCGTCGGCCCCTCGGCCCATCCGCAGGACCACGCGCCCCACTACTGGATGCCAGGCGAATCAGCGAGAACAATGGGGACCCAGGAAAGCCAAAAACATGCAGGACCAACGGGGAAAAGCAGTGCTTGAATCTATGTAAACAGGTTCAGGGTATTTACGCTGTAGAAGACACCGCGCGGAACGGCCCCGCAGGGTCCCAAAGGAACCTTACCTGACGAGGTCCTACTAGGGCCTTGGCATATGTTCACCAGGAATGCCGGAACCCCCAGGCGCAGGCTTCAGGAGCGCCCCACGTAACTCCGAGGCTGCAAGGCTATCCGCGGATCTCAGGACGGCCCAAAAATGCTCGAAGACGGCCCAACATGACTTCAAGACGGCTCAAGAATCGCCCCAACATGCCCCACAAAAGGGCTCTAGCTGGCGAAAAACAGTCACCGCCAGTTGTCGACGGCCCACTACGGCTCGACGAGCTGCCGAGAGCACCTCAAGACGGCCCAAAGGGCAACCTAGAAAGAGGCCAGCAACCGAAAAGGGAAAGTTCTTGACGAGAACGCAGAAATGTTTTACCAACGAACAAATATGTGTTCCCGAATTGGGAATTTGTCCTGGGTCGTGGAAAAAACTCCGGAGGCCTACCGAAGACATCTCCGCGCGCTGAACAAAGCAAGACCCAAGCGCACCCGCGGGGGGACATCCCAGGCCATTTGAACGACGGAAAGGGAAGCGGTCTCACACGATATGACGTAGCGACCTTACGCCGCGGCTTACGCGGGCCGCCAGCGCGGCACGCTGTGTTGAAAACGAGGGCGCGTACGCGCGACGAACCCGTTTTCTTGCGTCGCTCACGCGCGGAGCGATCGTGTGAACATGAATCGGGGAAGCCCGACGAGACACTTGACAGGAATACGTCGCACGTGCAAGCGGCGAGAATGGGAGAGCACGCTGGAGCGCAAGAAACAACGCAGCCATGCGCCGGCAAGGAAGTGGTAATAAGGACCTGGTACACGCAGCAACCACGATCCCCCTTTTCCGCCTCCAGCGCCCAGCGACCGAGCGGTATGCGCTTGTTAATGCCACATTACTTCAGAAAAGTCATCTGCGCACGCGCATGTTAATGCCACACGACTTCCAATAAGTCATCAGTGCCGCCCCGCCCCCCTCCCCCGAACACTCCTATAGCAGCACTGCCTCCGCTGCCGATGCGCCGATACCAAACTAAGGCCTCAAAACACAGCCATGGAACTCACGAACCCCCCGAACCCGAAATATTTGCTAATGTTGTCGATTTCAGGGCTGCCCCTCCTGCTGTTCCAACGATTTGATATCGACGCTTCCTCCTCCTCCTCCTCCTCCTCCTCCTCCTCCTCCTCCTCCTCCTCGTCCTCCTCCTCGTCCTCCTCCTCCTCCTCCTCCTCCTCCTCCTCCTCCTCCTCCTCCTCCTCCTCCTCCTCCTCCTCCTCCTCCTCCTCCTCCTCCTCCTCCTCCTCCCCCTTCTCCTCCTCTATATGTACTGAATATGTCTCGTCCTCCGTTACGCCCTCGTTTTCCGAATCCTCTGTACGATTTTCCTGTCTTCCTCCTCTGGCGTCCGCATCGTCCAAACAAAACGCGCAGAACGGAGAACAACGAAGGCGCATCGGACTTCGAAAGTGGTCGCCGTTCAACACCAGAGTGTTCGATTGCAGCACCTATTCCGACCTCGGACTGACACCTTCTACCCCTCCAGCGTTACCTCGTCCGGGTCACCCGCCGCACACTCCCCCGTCCCTCCTCGACATCCCCTTGCACTTACTCCCCCCCCAGTGCCCACCCGCGGTTCTCGCCAACGAGGCCCAGCCAGCCTCGCGGACACAACTCAGGGCACCAGCGGCCTCTCGCGCCTAGGTTTGACGGTTTGACGATGGCTCCAGAATTATCCTGGCGAAGGACCCAACCAGATGCAGTTGGGAATAACGCAATGGTAAAGATTGTCCTCGGTGGAGCTCCCTATGGGGCCACGAACCGTGTGAGAGGTGTGCGCCGAAATGGGGGTTGAACTGCATGCGAACTTTGCCACCGGGGCCTGCAATAGAGCTCCATATGGGGCCACGAACCGTGTGAGGGGTGCGCCGAAACGGGGGTGGAACTGCATGTGAACTTTGCCACTGGGGTCTTCGGTGGAGCTCCCTGTGGGGCCACGAACCGTGTGGGGGGCGCCGAACTGGGGGTGGAACTGCATGCGATCTCTGCCACTGGGGCCCTCGGTGGAGCTCCCTGTGGGGCCACGAACCGTGTGAGGGGCGCGCCGAAATGGGGGTGGAACTGCATGCAAACTATGCCATTGGGGCATTCGGTGGAGCTCCCTATGGGGCCACGAACTGTGCGAGGGGTGCGCCCGAATGGGAGTGGAACTGCATGCGAGCTACCTGTGGGGCCACGAACCGTGTGAGGGGTGCGCCGACATGGGGGTGGCACTGCATGCGAACTTTGCCACTGGGGTCTTCGGTGGAGCTCCCCAAGGGGCCACAAACCGTCTGAGGGGTGCGCCGAAACGGGGGTGGAACTGCATACGAACTTTACCGCTGGGGCCCTCGGTGGAGTTCCCTATGGGGCCACGAACCGTGTGAGGGGTGCGCCGAAGTGGGGTGGAACTGCATGCGAACTTTGCCACTGGGGTCTTCGGTGGAGCTCTCTATGGGGCCACAAACCGTGTGAGGGGTGCGCCGAAGTGGGAGTGGAACTGCATGCGAACTTTGCCACTGGGGTCTTCGGTGGAGCTCTCTATGGGGCCACAAACCGTGTGAGGGGTGCGCCGAAGTGGGAGTGGAACTGCATGCGAACTTTGCCACTGGGGTCTTCGGTGGAGCTCTCTATGGGGCCACAAACCGTGTGAGGGGTGCGCCGAAGTGGGAGTGGAACTGCATGCGAACTTTGCCACTGGGGTCTTCGGTGGAGCTCTCTATGGGGCCACAAACCGTGTGAGGGGTGCGCCGAAGTGGGAGTGGAACTGCATGCGAACTTTGCCACTCGGGCATTCGGTGGAGCTCCTTATGGGGCCACGATGTGGGGGCGCCGAAGTGGGAGTGGAACTGCATGCGAATTTTGCCACTGGGGCATTCGGTGGAGCTCCCTATGGGGCCACGAAACGTATGAGGTGTGTGCCGAAACAGAGGCATGCAAGGGGCAGAGGCAAGGAGGGCGAGGAGGATGCAATAGAAAAGGGGGAAGCGGTAGGAGAAGGAAGGAGGACGCGGGCGCTGTCTCTTCAAAACGAAGGCCCAACACCACAGGATGGTTGGGAAAAACAAATAACAACACCGCGCAAATGGCCCCACCTTCTAATTATCCACCATGCCGTTGAAAGCGGGCATGCTTGTGACATCAATGACATGCCGTACGTCCCACACCATCGCCAATGCAGCTGTCCAATTCAGACATCGGCTCTCGCTGTTCAAACGATCCGCGTTTCCCCACGGTCAGGTCGAAGTAGTCCGCATCGTTCGCGCAGTCGTGCACGGCAACTCCAAAATAGTTGCAATTCGCCGGCCCAACGGGCCAGAGGCGTGCTAAGATCTCCGGTAACTGGTTAACAATTTTCTAGTTCGCGCGCGCGGGGCGGCCCCTGGGGGTCCCCGGACGAAAAGTACCCCGACCAGGTCCCGGCCGGGTCCCCCCGAGCGCTCCATGAGCGCACCAACAGGGCTCCGAGAC